CTTGGGGAGAATATAAGCCCATGACACACGAGCACCGCGAGAGCCAAAGCGGAAAGGAAATGCTTCAAGAATCCGAGGCGGCACTGCTTGTTCCATCTGGGCCAGGATCGCCGAGGTGTTTAGCGACAGTGGCTGAAAAACCGATTCAGCAGTGAAAGTGTTCTGAAGCATCATCCAATACTTCACAGGGCAAAAAACATGCGCATGAGAGCCTTCATGATCCCGAACATGCCACACCAGTCCCTTGGTCCGTTTTTTCAACTCTTGAACTAGATCAACCGTCCAATGAGTTCCGACATGCCGCAAGTGTAGATCCCAAGCCTTCTGCCAGGCACATCGAATATCAGTTGTCGGGTAATGTACCAGACCGTGATGGGCTATCCACTGCTTCACGTCATCATGAAACATCTTCCAATGATCCGTGGCGGTCATAAACACCGGATTAGCACAGCTCGACTGGGCCAACTGAGCAAGTTCATGCGGCAGAGACAACAAAGTGGCGGAAGATGCAATGTGACCCTGAACCACTATCAAGTGAGGATGGCGTTGGAGAAGCTCAGAACAGCAGCACATGACTCCGGCCTTGTGTGGGTCCTCATGTGGGTCCCACAACTGCAGGATTCGTTTGTGCGAAAAAAGAACGTCCTTGATCTTTGGGTGACTTCTGGCAACAAGCGCGGTCGTTGGGATGTGGTATGGCAACAGTCTGTCAGACGAAACGTCCAAGATACCACCCAACAAGCCACGAACCAAGCGCTTGAAACCTGCCTCCGGCAATAAAAACGGGGTGGACAGAGGACGACATGTGGTCGGGCACCTCAGCTGTCTGAATTGCAGCGCAGTGTTCAATCTGGACCTGCAGATCGTCTCGTAGAAAGGGTCACCCAAATGAGTGGCCATCCGAAACAGTCTGTAGAGAACATCCGAGTCGACTCTATTGCTGCGTAAGTACTTTTGGGCAAGAAAAGATTTCAAACCGTCTGATGCCAAGTCAAACAGAATCTGATAACTGTAAACAATATTCTGGATTATATGTGTTGAGCGAAAGACAGATGGCGTCAGTCCAGTGAGCTGGAGGTTCCGACGTCGGAAACGTCTGAAAGTTCTCCACGATGTCACAAATCTGCGAACACATCTGACAGGGTCGGAATTGGCAATGTGTGCATGTTTAGCTTTTACCAGCGACCGAACCCAGGGAGCATTGAGGCGTGGCTGCAGCAAGTTGATGAACGTCTGCTCAATTGTATGCAAACAGTCACCCTGAGGCACATGCATGATCAACAAAGGAATGGCCAGATGATAATTCCGTCGTCGGTAATGCCAGAAAAGCGAAAGCTCCCCACATACTGACTTGCCAGAACAGATTTGTTTGTACTTCCCCCATCGAGTACGTTCGCGCTCGCCCAACGTCTGGGATGTAGATCCGACATACATGAATTGCTTCAACTCGGGCTGGAGAAAAATGCGGCAATAAATCACCGACTTGGTCTGAAAGAATTTCCAGGTGTAGCTGGAACACTTTAAACGAAGCTGGGAGGTCAACGGCGACTGTACAAGCCCGAACTCACATGCCAACAAAAGGAGCTTTCCACGGACCCAAATGACAATGTCCATCCACTGTTGTCCGAACATGGTGGGTGTCTCGTAGACACTCTGGAAAAAGAGATGAGCATTCCGAAGCAAGTCCACGTCACTTCGGTGCTTCCGCCACCATCCTTGTGGTGGATTGCCGCTGCGATATCGCTCTCTATCATCCAGTGTGGCTTGTAGTCAAGCCACAAGAATTGTTCCGACAGCTAAAATTCGCAGCAATGAGCCTGCTTTAAGCTTGGCAATGTCACGAATTGGGACGCCCCAGTTGGCAACAACCTGATCCAATTCGGCCTGTTCATTGGAAGGAAGGTCCGCATGCCATCGTTGGACATGGGCGGTCCATGTCTCCAGCTTCTCGCGGTTGTTTTTGCTCAAGGACAATCCTTCTATCCATGTCGACACTTCCTTGTCCGACTTGCAGGTTTTCCAACCACGTGTCAAGAAATGGCGTTTGGACACATCCGTGAGAACACTCTTCGCAACTTGTCCAACATGCGAGGACGTGCCATACTCAAACTGAGAACTTCCTGGGCTGCGACCTTGCGTCTCGACCTCCCCATTCTCAATACTCAACGGTTCTGCCTGGCTCCCCGATGGTTTGCCTTTCTGGAAGGCCTGCATAAGATTGTTTTTTGGCTCAGCCGTCTGGCCACGAAGAAGACGAGTCGTACCATCAGGAACTTTTTGAGCAGAAGTTGTTGACTCTGACACTGGTCCTGGGGGCTTTCCTCAATCGGCAGCCCCTTCTGATCTGCGGTAGCCTGGTTAGAGGTGCGGGAGGGGGAAGCATTCTCAAAGCTCGCAAGTTGTTGTTGAAGCATCTGGATCTGATTCGACATGGCTGCCTTCTCTGTGTCAACTGAAGCCTGTGGATACAGACCTACCATGTAGTCAACAACCTTCTGTGCCAACAGATGTGTGGCCTGCGCTTTCGAGTCCGAAGCACCACTCTTCGAAGCAGCATCACTGGTACCCTGCACGATGGAAGCAAGCTCATCCAAGTCGACTTCTTCATCTCGCAATTTTCCGAACAATGCATGACAGAATACAATCTCAGCAATCGATCGGAAGCATGCAAAGAAAGCCGGCTTTCCTTCTGCAATATGACGAACCCAATATGAATTCCAACCTTGATAAAGCAATGAATGGAGCGGTACCATGTGTGTTGGGCATCCGTCAATCTGCTTTCGAACCGACCATTCAGTCTTCTTAACCCAACGAGCCAGGTTCAAGCCTGCAATAGAGCGCGAATCCAAATAATTCGGATTCTGACAGAACTCAGCGGGTAGCATAGGTCCGAAGACTTTAGGTGGCTTAGCATCAGGTTGGGATGGCAGTCCTGGAATGCGAGGGGTTGGTGAAATGTTCATAATCTGTGCAGCACGGGGATTGGGCTGCCACGTGAGATTCTGCGGCTGAAGCACCGTCGGGCGGGCCATGGGTAGAGCCGGAGGGGGCACGGGATTTTGCCAACTCGCAGGAGGAGGTGGAACCACAGCTGGAGTGGAGGAGCTCCAATAGGGATTGCGACGGGGGCTTCGTTCACGATCCATGGCAACTTTGTACAAGTGATCTCCACTATGATCTCCACTATGATCTCCGCTGTGATTTCCGAAAGGCTGATCTCCGGATTGTGATCTCCACTTGAACATGTGTCGCGAATCCTACCTGATTTCCAGACTTGCTAACACAAGCACCCCGGTGGGCCGGCACTTCGCCGAAAAGCGACAAGGCCCTCATGAGGGAGCTCTTGTCGAACACAACTGGAAAGGCTTCCACTGACCCGCCTGCCTTCTGTGGGTGACAACTGTACGTCGACATGACTGCTGCAAGACTGCACATCGCACATGTTGCAAGCCAGGTAAAAGAAATCAATGAGCAAACCTAAAACCTGCCTGGAAAAGGCGAAAGCCAATTGTTTCACTAATCTTGCTGGCTCAGGGGCCCAGCTTTTTGCAGGTACACAAGGGTGATCAGCCCTTGCTTCCCGTCAGATTCCGTAGCTTTGTTAGGCACGGTCTGGAATCTGACGCCGTGCCCCCCTGCATCATGCAAAAAGGAGAAAGCGAAAAATTGAAAATAGAGATGCATGAAAAACCTTCATGATTGCAAACCATCGCATGTACAGCAGGATAACACAAACATACATACACTGTGTACATACGTATCATATACACACATATATATGTATATGTATATATATATATATACACTGCGACGGGAAAGCACGACTGCAGGTGAGTAGGGACATATATATATATGTATACATATACATAGTGTGCCTATATTATGTGCTTACTACACCGTACATGACAAGCTATATGTTAGATATCGTAAATTCAATCGTTTGTTTTTATCCTTCAAGAACTTGTTATGAAAATTAACATATACATACACATATACATGAGAAAAACTATACATGGCATGTCATGATATGTGTTATACAACATATTCTGCCCAAGAATCTATCTATATGTATATATATATATATACATGCTTTTAATGCCGCGGCCCAAACAGCATGTACTTTGGCCCCGAAGTACTTTTATCAGGACTACTTTCAAGCCAATGTACACACAATCTGAGTAAATGGACCCTCCAGGCGATATACATTTTATACTACATGCTACATCCAACATATTACAAAACACATCTCACATCTTAGATACTCTAGATTGAAAATTACCTATTGGAAGTCATATGTCATATATGTTGCATGCTTTATAATGACTGCTCTGGTCTATGTTTGTTGAAACCTGCTATAAATTAAAACTACAGTATGGGTACTCGGGCGTACTCGGGCTTGCTCGAGCGTGCTTGAGCATACTCGAGCCTACTTGAGCGTACTCGAGCACACGCGAGCATACCCGGGCATGCTCGGGCGTACTCGAGCTTACCCGAGCGTATACTCGGAGTGCACATACATGCACACATACATACATAAATACATGTGCATACATACAAAAAAACATATGTACAGGCACATGTACATACATACATGTGTCTATACCTCTACAAAATCTAAGTTCATGCATAAGCATGCATACGCATATATACATATATACTTATATAAGAAAAGTGTACTTTAACATACTGACAAGCAGGAGGCACACCTCCTAGTATGTGCCAAATGCTGTCGAGTAGCAATTGGGTTCGGAACACCAGCTCATGCAGGGTCAGCTGCAAATTGAGCTGATATGGCTGCAGCAAACAGCCGACAGGTCAGCATCTGCCGCATCCAGAAGAATGGGGCGGAGCCGCTCACCGGCCGAACATACGAGGCTCGGACCCAATGAAAACATGAAATGAGTTTCACATCTTCCCTTGCCTCTACAGTAACCCAGACCCACATCTTCCCTGTCCCTCGCTTCCCCCTTGCAAGATGCAACGGCATGCGACCCAGCTGCAACCGCCAAAAACGGTATCAAGAAGGCCCACCTCCGGCTCCCCCGAGACGCACGTCAATGCAACAAGAAACCAGGAGACTTGTAAGAGCGGTGTGCGCCGTCTAGAATCTAGAAGATGACGACAGAATTGGGGCTGCGACATCCAGGGGTCCACAGATGTAATGCTGACGATGAAGTCTGCGTTGTCGCCAAAGATGCCTGCTTTGCTCGATCGGGAAAAGTACGGGTGCGAGGCAAATCATCCCTGCAAAAGGCCATTCGTGCTGCGCGGCCTCGCAAAAACAAGGTGTTCATGACTGACCTCAGTACAGGGTCGTCACTCGCCGAGACAAGGTGCATGTGCGAACGTGCTACCGGCCTTTTGGCTGCGGAGTCTTCGACACGTCGCAGTCAAACAAGCAATTTGCAACGTCAACCCCTGTCCATAACTTAAACTAATGTTCGGGTTGCGAGCTACTGGTAGAGCCTCACCTGAGATATGCCGCCAGCACACAGGACGGAATCGAAGTAAGCCGCAGTGCCGATCGCACTTCCATCAGCGAACAACCTGCACAGGATTGGTCGTCATAGCGGTGGCTTTGCGTGGAAGTGTTCTCAAGCCTGGACCCTGTGAACACAGGGCGACATGGAAGGCGTGGTAGCCTGAACATCACACTGCAGAAGTAGATGAGGATGATCCAAACTCCGAAGAAGACACCTCAGCAACAAGCCGCTTGCCATGGGGAGATTTTAAGAGCTTGTCAGCTTGGAGCCTGCACAACGTCTTTCGTCCCAGTTGCTCACGGATCGCATGGCATAGGCGAGACCCTTCAGGACGATCATGAGCTCGGGGCACGCCCGCAGAATTTTCGTCATCCTTCTGCAGCTGCACCGGACGGATATCAAGCCCGAAATCTTGAAGCCCGCGCCGAAGCCTGAAGATGCCTAAAATATGACTGTAAATAGGGCATAACTCCATACCCGCAAGATTACCAACGCACGGCCAACTGCAACGACGGCCCTCCTCGTCAGGCGAAAGACCCTCAGGGGAGCACAGTCAGCAGTCTTTTCACACTGTCCATTGCTATGCCCTTGCAACTTGATGTCGTAGTGTTCGGTTCGGAGAAGGTCCCAGGTCGCAAGGCCCCACCTCACCAAGCGTAGCATCCGCAGAAGGCCGGTGCCCTGTATCATCGACGCTTGCTGCCCGGTAACCTCAGCAGCAGAAGCAGCACAGCCCCAGACGGGCTCTATGCGCGAATTCTCCCTCATCCGTGGCAGGCGGCAGCCAGCACAAGGGTCAAAATCCAGACCTCTCCAACAGTGAGCAGCACCAAAATCCTCGAAGGGCAGCTAGGGTGTTAATGGGTGTTACTATGGTGTTGCGACACTCCCGTACAACATCAGCTCGCATCACCTGCCCAGATCTGCCAAGCCACATGTCGAAGACGAACCAAGGATCCTTTAAAGAGTTGCATTTCCTGTCATGCTCGCACAGGCCAGGACCCCAAGTCGGCCCAGCTTCTGGAAACAGTCACTAACTTCGGTGGGCGGCTGCAAAGTTTTAGAGATGTCGTGAAACATGTTAGCTAGAGCAGCCATTTTGGAAGGCGGCAAGGAAATCAGTCGTTTGAGCCACTTCCCATTCAATACTTGCACAATTCTCCGACTCGCGCAGCCTTTGAAAGGCGCAGAACCGTACCATGATCTCCACGATGAAGTATGTGCCTGCTGAACCGTCCAAAAAAGTCCCCGCATTTTTGCAATCCAATTTCGTGGAGCAAAAAGCTTACCCTCTTGTGATCAGGCTACAGAATACATTCTCCATAATCTGGAAGACAGGGTCCGCATCGATGAGGGCCGCAGCAGTATTCAGATCAGCGTCCACTGCAATCCAAAGTGCGCTGAGGCACACCTCACAGGAGACCCAGAGAGCCTCGTTTGTCGCTTCCCCCTGCGCTGAGGCCCACGCAATTGACAGAGTAACATTCTCGAACATCGGGCTCTTGGCAATCCTTTGTGCCAGGCCAGTCTCGTGGTAGTACTCAAACCTTCGCTCCGGGCGTACAGACGACAGACAATGGCAGAAAGGCTCCCGGACTTAAGACGATTCCTTTACACCGCTCTGAATCAAAATGATCAGTTCAATTGACTTAACTTCCAGTCATCATTTTCTTTTCATGGGCGGGTTCCTGGCAGAAGCCACTTCCTGCTAACAAGTGCGCGCGCCTCTTATATATGTATCCAAAACAAAGGCAGTCAAACCTGAAGGCACTGATGCTGCAGGCGATCGCAAGAAAGCACTTCGGCCCGACTTTAATGCCTGCGCATTCGACCTGATTACCCCACAGCAACCTCTCCGGGCAAGCGGCACATTGTAAGGTGGCTTCATGGAAGCGAGCTGCGCGTCTCTCTTGAGCTGATCTGCACCGGCAAACCTTGTTCGGAGTAGAGGCAATGCTGCAGGTCGACATCATTTGAAGAGTTCGAGATGCGGCCACAGCGGCACGGAGGCTCTTTGAGTTTCCACCCGCAGCTTCTTCTTCGGATCCAGTTGCGCGGCGGTTGGCCGCCTTAGAACGCCGTGCCTGGCGCCTCGCAAAGCCTGCACCGCACATCTCACCGGGGCACTTCTTCTCCTTCTTCTTCGTCGCAAATTCCACGTTACTGGAGTCTGTTTGTGCCTTAGAGGGCATGATTGTCCGAAGCAGGGATAATATCTTGTACTCAAAAAGCCGCTCGTCCTGGGGCGTCTGCAGCCCGGTCGTGAGTATCATTCTCCTGCAAGTGTTCAATAGTGTTGACAGCTGCAGGGCAGCTCGAGTGATAGGATCCATCCACTACACAGGGCTCAGAAACTGACGCCGTGCACTTACAAATCGAACTCAAAGTTGAACACATGCGTGAAGCCGCTCCGTCTGCAAGCCAAGATCTCGCAGCCGAATGGGATGCCTGCCAAGCGTTTGAGCGTCGCCATCCCAAGCAGAAACCACAAACAAGATTGAAAGACGACCGGGGTGCAAGTGCTCGCTTCGACAAGCAATACTTGTGATAAATCGTCACGGACATTTCTGGGATCCGGTCGAGGCCCCTGGTCCGAGTACTAGGAAGCGTCACAACCCTCCCAGGTTGCTGCGCTGTCTTCTTTTTGTTCTAGATTCTAGAAATGCCCCACGGCTCTCTGCTCCGAGTCTCTCGGAGACGCCAACGGTAGGGAGGAAAGCAAGACTGGCGATCTCAAAAACCAGGAGGTGAATCAGACATATCGGAAGTTGACTTCCCACAAAGGCTTACTGCCCGCGCCGATAAGCATCGAGATTCGCGAGTTGCAACAAAAATGAAAACACAGTTGCACCGACGGCAGCTGCGACGCAGAAGAGTTGCCCCTACATCCCGAACACCTACGACTCACGAAAGAAGATGTCAGGAAGTTCTGCAGGACGGCAAGAAGGGCGATGCCTAGACTCTGGATGCCACTGAGCAGGCAGTGGGATGAAGGGACAAGGGAACAAGTCTAGCATAAACAAGCCCGAAACATGGCACCCTGGCCACGTCTGCAGAGGACTCAGAGCTTTCATGGATCATGCTGCATGCACCAAGCATACCTCAAAACGCCCACGCAAGCACGGCCCTTGCAGGGAGTTCAAGAACTTGCTTCTTAGTCGGTAGCGTCCGCAGGAAGATTTCTGCAAACAGGGCTGGGCTCCCCCACATCGCGGCGATGACGGCCTCGCCTGTGCCAGCATGTTCCTGCAAGTTGCATGCCGTCTTGGGTCTGTTGGAGTGTCCAAACTGGGGTGGCGGATCAAAAAGAAGTACCGTAGTATCAAAAAAATTAAAACACAAAGATCAAAAACCGGTACTTTTGCAGCAAGGCTACAGAAAAGCCTGAGGGGATAGATCCAAAAAGAATGTGCCCAAAATTACTACTACTACTACTACTACTACTACTAGTAGTAGTAGTAGCAGTAGCAGTAGTAGCAGCAGTAGCAGTAGCAGTAGCAGTAGCAGTAGCAGTAGCAGTAGCAGTAGCAGTAGCAGTAGCAGTAGCAGTAGCAGTAGCAGTAGCAGTAGCAGTAGCAGTAGCAGTAGCAGTAGCAGTAGCAGTAGCAGTAGTAGTAGTAGTAGATAGTAGTAGTAGTAGTAGTAGTAGTAGTAGTAGTTAATTGTTGTGACAGGTGCACAGATGGACGCGTCTGTTCACACCAAGGTGTCGGAGGAGGAAGCTTTTGTAGCTGTAGTTTTCAGTAGTTTGAGCTGATTAGAGAGGTATGAGCGATGCATGCTAGAAGCAGTTTCACGAGTGCACGAGACCACAGGCGCCCGCAAAGCGCAGAGCACGCTCGCGCAGCGTTCAATTGAAAATAGTAGTAGTAGTAGTAGTAGTAGTAGTAGTAGTAGTAGTAGTAGTAGTAGTAGTAGTAGTAGTAGTAGTAGTAGGTAGTAGTAGTAGTAGTAGTAGTAGTAGTAGTAGTAGTAGTAGTAGTAGAGTAGTAGTAGTAGTAGTAGTAGTAGTTGTTGTAGTAGTAGTAGGAGTAGTAGTAGTAGTAGTAGTAGTAGTAGTAGTAGTAGTCTTTCTACGCGCGTAGTGCATATTTGACGCTGCGTTTTCGTGCACTTGGCAGACATAGAACACTGTAATTTGCTATGTATGCAGGACGGGGGGGGTCCTTGTCAGGGGAGCGGGGAAATTTGGATTATGTTGGTTGTCAGCAAGTGAATCAGCTCGGATCTAATTATATGAATTGTGCAAGAACAGCAGGAAGTTTTTAACGGGGAGCCATGGCTCGCAAACTCGTCCGTGGGCGCAACAAGGGCAAGCAGCGTCTTCACCTGCGTGTTGCTTGTGGCAACACGGGGCACCGCGTGGAGACGTGTGGCACAGCGGCAGCTCAGTTGATCCGGCAGTTGCGAAGCGAGCTGGCGGATGCACTGCAGACAAAGGTTAAAGGTTTAGGTAAAAGTTTAGGGTGAAAAACCCTAAACCCTAAACCTGGTTTCGGCGCTCACACTCGGACAACCAGGTTTAGGGTTAAAGGTTGAGCGTAAAACCCGAAACTCCCCCCCCCACAACCCACCAGCCCCAAGCCCCACCCCCACCCCCCCAAGGCAGGCCAAAGCCAAGCCCAAAATAAGTACTGAATATGAATATGAATATATATATATATATATATATATATATATATATATATTCCAAGGCCCTCATGGAAACGCAAGGCTCTCATAGGAAATCCAAGGCCCTCATACGAATTCCAAGGCCCTCATACGAAATCCAAGGCCTCATCAGCCTTGAACCTTCGATACCAGACACACCCACCGTCAACCTTGAAGCCCAAAACCCAAAGACATCCTCGCTCTGAGCCTGAAGCCCGAATCCGACAGATAGAATTCTTTCAATTGAAGCTTTCCAGAATTCCCCGCTCCCCAGAGAATTAGTGAAATTAGCTTAAAACTCGAGTTTTGGGCATGTGAAGTGAGGAAGTAGTAGTAGTAGTAGTAGTAGTAGTAGTAGTAGTAGTAGTAGTAGTTTTGGCTCCCACAGTAGTAGTAGTAGTAGTAGTAGTAGTACTAGTACTAGTACTAGTACTAGTAGTACTAGTACTAGTAGTACTAGTACTACTAGTAGTACTAGTACTAGTACTAGTACTACTACTACTACTAGTACTAGTACTAGTAGTAGTAGTAGTAGTAGTAGTAGTAGTAGTAGTAGTAGTAGTAGTAGTAGTAGTAGTAGTAATGGTGGTAGTACTGTAGTAGTTGTAGTTGTCGTAGTAGTAACAGCAGCAGCAGCAGCAGTAGCAGTAGCAGTAGCAGCAGCAGCAGCAGTGGCAGTGGCAGTGGCAGTGGCAGTGGCAGTGGCAGTGGGCAGTGGCAGTGGCAGTGGCAGTGGCAGTGGCAGTGGCAGCGGCCGGGGCCGGGGCCGGGGCCGGGGCCGGGGCCGGGGCCGGGGCCGGGGCCGGGGCCGGGGCCGGGGCCGGGGCCGTGGCAGTGGCAGTGGCAGTGGCAGTGGCAGTGGCAGTGGCAGTGGCAGTGGCAGTGGCAGTGGCAGTGGCAGTGGCAGTGGCAGTGGCAGTGGCAATGGTAGTAGTGGTAGTGGTAGTGGTAGTGGTAGTGGTAGTGGTAGTGGTAGTGGTAGTGGTAGTGGTAGTGGTAGTGGTAGTGGTAGTGGTAGTGGTAGTGGTAGTGGTAGTGGTAGTGGGAGTAGTAGTAATCGGAAAACCTGTATTGTCTCCATATTCTAATAGCACAAGTCTCTCCCGATTCCAACTGAGCCTCTGAGCGCTACTCCGCAACGTTGCTTGCGGCCCTGCCTCCAAACAATCGTTGCTCTGCAATCTCCGAGTAGCCTTGCAGCCGCGAATATGAGGGATGGCGTGCCGGTTCATTCCATTCCATTCGTCACTGAGCATAGTGCACCCCGAGAGGATCGGCGCCGGCTTGGGGAAGACTCCTGAGGGATGGTCCGGCAATGACTGCACCGTGGCAATTGAGACGGTGCGTATCGAATGCATCAACTTCATTCGAAGCGTTTGGGGTTCAGTGAGCTTCGCCCGGCCTTCGGCGGCTTTTCCAGATCAGAAAGCGCATCACTGCCCGTTGTCGACACGAGCTTATCCTCTGCAGACAGCGCAGACCGGATGTAAGAGACTCATCTTCCGGAATCTGAGAGGAGCTACACAGCAGATCGCCGAGGAGTTGCACTAAGTCCTGAACCAGTTCAACCTGTCTTTCTATGACACCGTCGCCCCGATCTGAGATGACCCGATTTACGTAAGTCTTCTTGCAGACAGGGCTGGGATAGCCTGCCTCGTTGAGCGAGATTGTGCGCGCGCTTCGGAGGGAGGTCCTGGCCAACTGACACAGCACGTTGCTAAAAGCAGCATTCGGGTGGGAGTTGCAGGGAATAACGGTTGCGTAACGTGCCTCGTCGCAGAAGAGGGACCTGACTCATGCACACTGCACAATGCACAAGCATCAGTGCAAACACTGTTGACACATGCGCCCTGGACCCTGTCAAATGAACGTCAACACCGATTGCGGCATCTGTGGAGAAAACTGACCCTAGAGTGACAACGAATCTCCAGATCAGCGGCTCTCCGGGCCAACATCTAGGAGCGACTTCACCGACAGGTAGTCAACGCCCATGAACTGCAGGAAAGCGTGAACGTGAGCCAAAAGCAACGTAAAAAATCTGCTGCAGTTTGACGCCTCACTAACCAAACAGTCGAAGCTGACACGGATTCACTCGCAAACATAGACATGTTCACCACTTGCTGTCACAACTTCAGAACATGAACCATGAACAGGTCCTGATCAAGGATAGCGAATACATTGAATGCATGAAGGCGGCCAGAGACTCCGCACACAAGTCACAATACAGCAATGCAGCCTTCTGTATACGTGCCATCTCACCGAGCACAAGTCGAACTTCTTGAGAGGATTGCTTCTTCGAGCTTGCCTCGGCATCCGCCCCCCAGCACCCATCACCCTCACCACCCTCACCACCCTCACTGCCGGCACTACTGGTACTGCTAGCACGGCAAAATTTTCAACCTGCGTAAGCATCGAAAAACGGGGGCTTGTGCAAGCGAGATGCCACGTCCACACGGAGGCTCTGGAAACCGGACTCCACGTTGGCCTTCACCAAATCCACCTTTGGACCTGGCAGTCTTCGCATGGCTGCAACATGGCTGCTCTGCAACCGGAGAACGAAGTGGATGGTGCAACTTGGGCTGCCTTGGTCAGCAGCCGCGAACTCAACCAGCTCCTGCGCTCGTCCGCGGAGTGATGCGGAGTGCAAATAACCCGGCCAGTAATGATTCAAGGTGCAAGGGCTTGTCCATGGCTTCGGGACGTTGAGGTGAGAACATTTGCGCGTCTACTGCAAGGCCTTCCTTTGAAAAGCCGCAAGCCCCTGGTCCCGTCCCGAGTCTCGCCCAGGCATTTGTTTGAGTGGCTCATCTCTTGGCGCAAGCCTCAGCCGGCAAATCGCCAACTGCACGAGTCCGCCGTAGCCGCACTTGGCGGACTCTGATGCTTGCTCAGCGGCTCTGAAGGTCGGACTGCAGAGAATGCAAGAGTGCCTGAGCAAGATCTCTTCGTACACGTTGCAAGGGTCTTGACTCGCAACTCTGGGGATCATTCATCTACGGCATGCCGTTTCAATCACAGTCCGCCCATGACAGGCCTCCAGCTTCATATTTCCAGTCCTGCAATCACTGAGAGCTGGCGAATGCGCAGCTCAGAGTTCTTCTGAGATTTCGTGGTGTTGTATACTGTCTCTGCGGCGACGGTGCTAAACTGCCAGAGAGTCTTTAGGCAGCTGCAGTACCGTTACGCGAATGCAACAGAGACTACGCCATCCCAAAACAACACCGGATCCTGTCGTGCAGGGACTCTGCGATGTGATCGCGAAGCTCGTGCAGGTCATTTCTGACACGGTGGTGGGCATAAGAGTAAGTTGCAGGGTGTTGCACAGCACGACAGCCTGAATTGACTTTTTTTCCTCTGCTTCCCATTGCAAGTCACCAAGCTCGAAATCTGAAATTAATTGGCATGCCCCGCGTAGATGTTGACCCCGTTCACACGCAGATATGGCCGTGGCTTGTGTGAGTGCAGATGCCTGAATGCGGTCGTGCTCCATCTCCTCCAAAAGTCTTACCACATGTGACCACTGACCTGAAGCGATGCATGCAGCCATGATCGAGTTGTACACTGGAGTGTCACACTCCATGTGCTTCATGTCTGCAAACACAGCCAAAGCGATCCGCCAGCAAAATCTGCTCTCACACGCACTCAACACGGCACTGTACGTCGTTACGTCACCTTGCAGCTCTCTGTGCTCGAGTTCACGAAGAAGGGCGATGGAATGCTGCCAGTGCTTCCCCTTCTCGCAAGCGCTGATAGCTGAATTGATGGCTATGGTATTCGCCTCCACGGCGCGATGCTTCATCAGACCGAGAAGTGCGAGTGCACGTTGCCATTGATCGCCACGCTCGCACGCATTTATGCAAGCACAAAAAGCAACCGAAGTTGCCGAGAGCCGCTTATGCATTGCAAGCTCCAGCAATGACAAAGCCCGCTGCCACTGCTCACCACGACCACAGGCAGAGGCTGCTGCACTGTAACTAACCACAGATGCCACGTTTGTCGGAATCATGGAAAGCAGCCACAAAGCTTCCGGCCACCGTGCACACGTTCCGCAGGCACTGATGGCCGCATTGTACGAAATTACATCTGGCTCCTGCTTCACATGCTCGAAATGATGCAAGATCGCCAATGCACCTTGCCACCGCTGCCCTGCGTCACCTGCGGTGATAGCGGCATTCATCGTTACCACATTTACCTTGGTCAACACAGCTTGTACATGTTGTTTGTGCCGAAATGCAGATTACTGGACGTGAAGCCTGCATCGTCTCGTCAGCTCTCGGCCTTGTCGAAGAGCAGCGGAAGCAGCTGGGGGATTGCAAGCAGCCGCAGAATTAGCAGAAGAAGCAAGCACCAAAAGAAGCAGAGGAGCAGAGGGGGAATCAACAGCAGCACAACAGCAGCGTCAGCAGCAACGACAGCAGCACCAGCAATGCAAAAGAAGCCCGCCGATATTACCACGATCACCACTAGCCATGCCAACCCCAATCAACCGCCAACTGGAACGACAACCACGAGGACAACCACGGCAGCGTTCGAGCCTCGAGCACTCGTGCGACTGCATACGCAGTGGCATACGCTCAAAGCTAGCCAGCTAGCTGCGACTGATTCGTGCTGGCAGTGCTAGAAGCAACGCTGGGCAGGATAAGCTGAAATGTGCAGCTTCAGCCTCATGCTATGCTGGGATAAATACATCAACTTGGTGCGTTCTCAAACCACTGCTCCCTTGTCAAGGAAGCAAAGCCGGTCGCGCCTTTCCCGAGCAACACGAAGTGATAACGCACCAATGCTGGAGATAGGAGCTCGGTCGCCAACAGATCCGTCGAGACAAGAATGCGTCAGGCAGCAGCGCTGGGTGTTGGTGGCCGTTTATGTACAGGATCAGGTCTGGACGAACTCGTGCTTTGATTGTTTGTCCGTAGATGTCTGCAGGAGAAGGTGGGTACAAGACAGCCTGAAAGCCTCGCTCTTTAGTCGCGGCTGCTTTAATCGTAAGAATACTCGAATGGCCAGCAACTCAGTAGACGCAGAAGACAAGTCATCGACAAAGGCACAGCGCGACAATTGCCCTTTCATGTAGTTACCCTGCTGGGCCGCAGTTAGTGATAAGTCGTGGCTGCAGCTACAACCACAACAACAGCGACAAAGCACGGAAAGCCGCCACAACTCCCACATTAGACGAAGATGCGTGAAGCCTCTCGCTTGCGGCCAGCGAAAGACCACACAACGCCTCCTGCCAGCTGGCCTTCGCACAGGAGCTCATCCTTGCAACAAATCAGGAGTGACTGCAGTACTCCTTGAAACATGGTTTCGATTAGCAATAACTTAGACTTCTCCTCGAATAGTAACTCTTTACGTGGTTTGTGGTACAGAAATACACACTCAAAGCTGGACAAATTAGCACTTAAATCTGAACCAACTGAACACGTACTGCTGGACGAAAGAAACACTCAAACCTTGACGAATTGAACATGTAAGTCTGGACGATTACACACTTAAGCCATTAAAGCTTCGTCTGGCCGATTGGACACTGAACCGGACATGAACACGTAAATCTGGACGATAGACCACTTTACGTGTTCATGTTCCCACCAAAAAGAGTGTTCACCGGGCCAGTGTAACTGCTGACTTTCCCACCAACATGGACGTTCACCGGGTCAGGATAAGTGTTCACTTTCCCACCGCAATACATGTTAATCGGGCAAGGATGTGTTCACCGGGCCAGTATAAGCGTTCACTTTCAGAAATGTTCTGCGCCGGCCCAGAATATGTGTGCATTTTCCTAAAAAAACAAGTCTCCACCGGGCCAGGATGTGTTCAGTGTTCACCGGTCCGAGATAAGTGTTTGCAGGGCCAGGATAAGTGTTTACCTTCCCACAAAAATACGTGGTCTGAAATGGACAACCACAGAAACATCTGGTCAAACACACCTGGAATACGCGCTCTAGACCCTAGACAAAAAAGCTCAAAACCCAGAAACGAGTGTTCTACGCCCCAGAAATACATCCTTTCAACCCGAGGATTTTGTCCTCTAAACCCAAGATCTATGTCTTCTAAACCCCAGATGTGTGGATAAAAAGTGTTGTAAAACCCAGAAAAAAGGTCGTCTAAAACCTCAGAGCCACGTGTTCTAAACCCTAGAAATAAGCGTGCTAAACACCAGAAACTCGAAGTTCTAAATCCCAGAAATAACTGTTCTACACCCCCGAAAAAATGATCTGAACCTCGGATATAAGTTTTAAAAACATTCCCAGAAACATGCGTTCTAAACCACAGAAATAAGTCTTATGAACCCCAGAGATAAGTCCTGGAACCCCAGAAATTCCAGAAAGACTTATTCAAACCCCAGAGAAAAGCCCCCCCCCCAGACCTAAGAATGCCAAATGCCAGAAATAATTGTTGTAAACCCCAGAAGTACTTCTTCTGAACCACAGAAATATGTAGTCCAAATCCCACACATATACGGTACCCCAGAAAAAACATGTTCGAAAACCCGGGAAGAAATTTTGTAAACCCCAAAGACAGACAAGTGTGCGAATTCCCAGATATGAGTACTCTACTTACATCCAGAAAGTTGTCTTTTAAGCCCCAGACAGGGACACCAAGAACATGCGGCCTAAAGAAGGCATGCAATGCACTGTTAGAGGCAGCATCTAGGCAACAACATGGCACTGAGAGTTTGGGGACAGGGAACACACCCGAGCAACGTCATGGTGAAAAACCCCCTCAAGCAAAACCTTCGCTAAGCATCACAGCGTTGATGGTTATGATATCCATGCTAGAGCGCTTGCTGAACATGTCCATGAGCAACTCCAGACTGATCCGCCTTGGTCTTATTCGCAAGTGAAAACTGTGAACATCTGGGGGTTCTCGCTTCTGGAACTGAGATGAGAACCACCTGCTGGACTTTTCACAGGCACTGATAGCAGCATTGCAGGATATTGTGGTGGGTCGCAGGTGGCCACAGCGCATCTCTTCAATCAATCTTGCGGCCACTTCCCACTCGGCGGCCTTCCTCGGCACTGCCAGGGCATCCAGGACCAGAGCAAGTGCAGAAAGGCAGACACAAGCTCCCATGCTTAACAAGGCAAGGCACTCAGAGGAAGCAAGAGCCGAGTTGAAGGTCACGGTGTTTGGACGGAATCCTCCCGCCGTCTCCACCATCGCCGCAGCATCTCTCCAGCGACAGGATTGCCTCCACCCCCGACTACACGACCCTTGCTTCTCAAGCATTGCACTATTCATTAAGCAGTCATGACCACACGCAGATGCCCGATTCCCAAGATGTCCCAGGTACCCAAATGCAAACACCATGGCGTTGCAGCCAACGATGTTAGGCTCGAGAGCTGCTGACGACAGCGAGGAGAAAAGATTCGCAGCCGTCTGCCACTGCAATTGCTTGCCTTCAGCTGCGGCTACGAGCGCTAGTACCACTGCAAAGTCACACTGTCTCGGTCATGCCGTGCGAGCACAAAAACCAAATCACAAGATCCCAAAGGAGAGGTAGATGTACTAGTTCTGGCTGCATGCCGGCGACTGCAAACAGACACGACCGTGACTTCCGTAATGATCTCTGTTGACACACTGTCCGGAATAGATGTCCGAATTTGGAGCGCAACCGGCCATCCTCAGGACTGGACAGGCCGAAACTCACGCCAAACCCGCGGCTGTTTCATCATGATACTAGTTTGGTCTACTTGGATGATGGGAAGCATGCCTGCATGCATATCTCGTTTGCGCTCGCCTGCAAAGTCATTGTGGACGGATGCTGCCAAAGCCGTATTAAAAGTGACCACGTTTGGCAACAAGCCCATGCCTCGGTTGAAAGAACTGCGCAACAGGCCATGAAGCGTGCAAGCGCTCTCCGTTCTCATGGCTCGAGCTCTTGAATGGCCGTGCCTCTGGCCCCAGAACGACATCTCGCCAAGCCACTTCGAACCATGGAAACGGCTGGCTGCCAGGTGCCCTGGCCAAACTCAGCGCAAGCATGCAACACGACATGAGCCCCACGCCGCATGCCAGCAAGCACTCCCCGCCTTGGATACCACACTGGACACGGAGTTCCATGTTGTGCAATCGGTCTGTTCAAGCAGTGAATGTCTCTGCATGGAGCAATATGGACAGCTTGAACCACAACCCCGGCAGTCATGCCTGCCTGCACGCAGTCGTGCTGGTACTTGTCCAGAACGGACAACGCTCTCGGCCAGTCGTCTTCTGTCCCAACAGAGCTGACGGCAGTGTTGCACGTGATCACGTCTGCTTTCACAAAGCCCCACGACATAAGGTCAAGTACGTTTAGGCTCCAAAGCCAGCCAGGAAGAGCCAATGAACGAACCAGCGCATTGAAAGATACTACGCTCCGATCCACGGTCATGTGTTCCATGGACTCGAAGAGCAAAACTGCCTTGCGCCAGTTGGCGAGGCTTCTGAGTTTGCTAAAGGCTGTATTGAAAAGAACCAGGCGCGTCTGAACCGCAGTCGTGGACAGGTGGTGTAAGACATGCAAAGAATCAGTCCAAGTCTGCAGGTCCCGGGCTTTGATAAACCTGTGCTGCTCTGCACGCATCCGCACACCAGGACTTGTCATGCACAAGCTGCTCCACGGATTGCAGGTGGAGATATCATATCTTCAGACTGAACGGCTCGGCTTTCAATCCCGCATTGCACAATGCTTCGTCCCAGGTCTGACTCGCTTGAAGCCGCTCCATTCAATTCTGGTGCACACCCAACAAAGTCGCCATGCCCGGGCGACATAGCTTTACCTGCATCATGCATCAACGGATCCCAATGTGCTTGAGGCAGCACAGGTTTCATCGGTGCAAGGAACTTTCGCAGCGCATGGAATGCATGTGGATCGCCTTGGTGGCTGCCTTGAGCCGAACTCTCTGTGCACACATTCACGTACGCTTAGCCGACCGCTCGACTTCGATGCGCCGCACTTCGACGTTCGATGGTGGCCAAATGTAGCCAAGTCTTTTACTGGGTTATGCTAGAAGAGTTTGCCACCCGCAGCATCCTGCCTCAGCTCTTCGTGCGCCGACCTCTGCGCTTCATGCACCTGTCACGCAGCTCCGTACCGTGTTTACTCCTGCAGGTTCCCTGAACTTTCGTCTCACCGCCGCATTTATGCAATCTCCATGCAAAGCAATCCAGACCAGCTTGCACCTCGAGGAGTATCTCCTGCCGAAAAGATCCAAAACGAATCCGTCTTACATCAGCATCACATCATGACAGCTTTGTGTCCCAATAATCAACAAGTGCCAAGGAGGGGGCATCATGCTCTACGGCAGCTATGCACGTCGCATCACGTCGCCTTGTGATCCTGGCTACGGTACCTGCGCACGCCAAAATCTCAAAACGTCGTTCGTCTTTTGTCGAAACAAGGAAAACCAGTGTCCCAGACACAACTTCCTGTTTGCAGGCGAGACGCGTAGGATCTTCGAACTCCTTCTGACCCTGTGTCGTCGACAGCAAGAGGTGCAACTTTCCCTAAAGAATGCAATGGACGAAATGGCCACAACATACGGGAAGGGCTAAACGTCGAGGTCAACTCATATCGGACCCGACCCCGGCAAGAACAAGCGCACTGGGACCCAGGCATCGGTAAGATGAAGGTGAACCATGAAACGGAAACACGACCCTGGATGCTGAAAGCCCACAAACACACCAGTTCGTCACGAAATCTCTGGAAAGGGTCTCGTTTTGCGTGTGCCCTTAAGTGCCAAGCGGATTTGGTCAAGGAGCAATGGTTGTGACCCTTCCTCCGCAAGTTTCCTCAAACCACCGGGCCAGGAAGGGGCTGCATCCGTCTTTGCTAGCACTCACCGCGTTGATTCGCGCCGTATCGCATTGTTGCCGCAAGAACTAGACCCTTGATACTTGTCAGGGCAGCGAACGCGCCAAGGCTCTGCCACATTTTCCAGAGAATCACACCCACTGGACGTTCGCATCTTCTCTTGCCAGGCACAGGATGCAAGAGATCGGTCAGCCGGGCACATACGATCCTCTTAAGATAGTTACCTTTCAATTCCCCTACCTTTCGATGGATAGGGACGAAATGGAAACGGTGAGGCTTCTGTGTCAAACAACGGGTTCCGCACCATGGCCTCCAACAGCGCGGTCCGCGATTCAAGCTGAGACATTTGCATGCTCAAACCGTCCACGGCCTGGCAGCACAACATGCGGCGTTCCTCACAGCAACACGTGTGGCGTCAGGCCTCTCGGATGTACTCGCCAGTCGAGCGGATCTGCACGTGGAAAGCATCCAGATGGTCCTTCTGATCTGGCTGTGGCAGTACGGATGGCACATTAGAGTCTTGTGTGGGAACATAGCCCGCAAATCCTATCAATTTTGTCGAGCGACAAAACGTCGTCCCAACTCCTGGTTTGCATTGCGCCTGAGTTTTCGAGCACTTTGCCAACGGCCCCGTGCACTTTTTTCCTTCAAGCACCGCGGAATTCAGATGAATTTGAGGTCGAGCCAAGCTGCAAGATCTCACGTCCCAATGCATCGCGCTCTGCCCTAACGAAACTCGAACTTGCTTCCAACAATCTCCGTACATTTGCAAACAGCAACACAAGCCAAGGAACTGCTGCAACTCATCGGCTGCTCTCGCAACGTCCGGTCTCTGCTGTTTGTGGTCCGATGCCTGGCTTCATAATGCACCAACAACTTAGCTGCACATACTCACTGCTAATTTGTTCGCAAACCAGAAAAAGGACCGTAAACGATGGCAACTCCGCTTGCGTTTTGCATTGAGCACATTGGAAGTTCGGTGCATCATTGAGTCGACGGCTCTGATTGCATTGGCAATCTCGACACGCAGGCCGTCCGCCTTAAGGGTCGGGAGATGTCGCTGATTTTTGTCATCTGTCATGCCCTCTCCTGCCAACTCCTCTCAACCTCCACTGAGACACCCACCACATTGGCCAGTAATTCTTGCGAAAATGCATCCACGTTGCCCTGGCCGAATCACCAACAAGAGCATGGAAACATTTCCCGCAACGCAAAGAGCATTCAAAGCAGTGTCAATACAATTGAAATTTGGAATTCGCATTGCCTCTGGTTTTCCGACGGCTGAAGCTTGTCATTGACTTATATCAAACCCCCCATACCATGCCAGGACACTAAAACATTGAACCAATCTTTCGTCGTAAACTGCTAAGCCTCCGAACTGTTGTTGGTCATGTCAACCGTGTAAGAAGCTTGTGGTTGGGAGCTTGTCGGGGCTTCACGAGTACTTGACCTAAGCAAAACGATTGGAGTAATGGAACCGAATAAACCAATAAAAGAATTCAGACTGAAGAACAGCTGCTCCTCTTCCAATCTGAAACCTGTATGCATGGGCAGTGCTTGCCTGCCACTGCGATCTGCAGCGTAAAGCCAGCAAACATAAGAGAGCACAAAATCCGAATGCCAGCAAGCCAAACCTGACAACGACAACAACAATGATGCAAAGCCTAAAACATTGCATAACAGTTATAACATGGCTCTCAGAATGAGCAGGCAGAGAAGAGTTACCTACTGCCAAGGACCACAGATCCAAAACAAGCATGCGCACAAATTTAAAAAAAATGACATCGTGCAGACATTGCTGATTTGTTAGAGCCATTTAAATTTGCATCCATCCATCGATGTACTCTGCGAACTGCTGTTGGTTGATCTCCCCACGGTTGCCGGGAACACATGACACCGCACCTGGCGATTCCCAGCTGAAGCACGTCTTTCAGGACCTTGGCTTGTTTAGCATGCATGGTTGGATATGGTTGGCTTCCTGTGTATCAACGTTCGCCGATGCCGGGGACCACACGTCGCTGTGGTGACTTTGGCCTGCTCATGTTCCCAGTCCCTTTTGCAATGTAACTGTGCTTGGGCCAAACAAGCCCCCAACAAAATAAACAAACGTCCCGACCGAGACTTGTGCGACAATAACAGGGGAACGACAACGTATCCATGCATTTGCAGGACATCAGTGCAAGTCGTATCAACTCGTACTGGTCTATACTGGTCTGTACGGCCTGGCTTGGTTGTTTTGAATGCCTCTGATGTAGGCAGTTCTGGCTTGCTGTTGGCCTGCATAAACCAGTCGCCTCCCAGCTCGTGCTCAGAACTTCGCTCGGCTGCAGGAAACTTACTGGCGCCAGATTCCCGGGTTCACTGCTACAGCACGAGACGGCGCAGAAAACACGGATGCGCATCCTGTTTCTTCCTTTTCGCCACCTATTCCGTTTGCGAAAAGCGTCCCGGCGACGTCAGCTGCCGATTCCCCGGCGGAGCGCTATGGGTTGCTAATGGGGCCGCAGCCGGTGGGCGGGCATGTCCGAAACCGCCATGGCCCACACGCCATGCGCAGAGCTGGCGACAGCTCGCTGCAAAGCAGCAATCTCCACGCGCGGCGCAGGATGGATGCGCACAGGGAAGAGCGTGCGGAAAACAGAACAGCTGGCGCTCCTCGCTCCAGTGGCAATTTGCAACGAGCCGGAGCCGTTGCGGCTTGCATGTTGGATCTGGGTAGCACGCGGCGCGACGGCCGGATGCTTCACAGGCGAACCGAGGACCACAACACCTCCCTGAGCATCAGGCTTGTCCCGACGCGCCACCCCGTTCCGCAAACCCCAGCGGAGCGGGCCAGCCTCAACAGCAGTTATGACGCAAGTATTTGCCGGAGATGGAGGCGTATGAAACAAGTCTGGTCCCTGCAACCTATGAGGAAAACGGCTCCGCTGCCGGGCCGTGCACATAGGCGTGCACCGAATGCAAGAGGTTTGTTTCCACACACACTTTTGCAACCATCCACGCGCAGAGCCCACATGCGCACTACGCAAGGCGGGCGGCCAGGGGAGGTGATCTAGCGGAGTCAGCGACGACGTTGCTGAGCAAAGGTAACCTTTTTTTGGAAACAACGGTCTTTTGAACTGAACAGACGTTTCTGGAGATGAAAGGACATATGGAGGGAGCTGCCACCAAATGGCCAGGGACGGGCGCAGGTCTGCTCAGCGTCTGGTTTTCAAGTCGACCGCGTGCGCCGCGCAGGGTCCAATCCCAGACTCTGTCTCTCAGCTACTAATACTAATAGTATATTAAAAACTAAGACGAATACTAATACCAATACCAATACTGATACTAATACTAACGAATCAACAACTACTGCCTCGCTTTCAAGTGACGTTTACACCACGTGCAGGACGTCCTGCAGAGGCGGTGCCTGCGCGCCAGGCAAAGGGGCATGGACGGGCGGCGACCCGAGCAAAGGTAACTCGCCATCGACATTGGTGGTGTGGGCGATCGGCAGAGAAGGTAAGCTAGTAGCAAGGGGCAGCTGCAGTCACCGACAACAACTCCAACCATCGCCCAACGAAGGCAGCCACTGTCGCTGCACGCTATGGTGGGAGGGCAGACCGTGCTCGTGCTTGGGCCAAGAACCTGACGAAGTTGGCAGCTTCAGCACTCCAGCGTCCTGCAACCTCCATGCCGGGAACGACCAAGCGGCACCGCGACGCCCGCCCGAACTCAGGGAAGGCGCGTTCCTTGCTTCGGCGGGTTTCGGCAAGGGCTGCGCCTGCGGTGGCCCGACTGCGGCGGCGGCA